GATGTTGGTGGTGGCGATGATGGGTGGATGGTGGGGGGGTGATGGTGATGGTGGTGGTGGTGGGGGGGGTGGTGGTGGTGATGGTGGTGGTGGTAATGATGGTGGGGGTGGTGGGAGTGGTGGTGGTGATGGTGGTGGGGGTGGTGGGAGTGGTGGGGGTGATGGGGGTGATGGGGGTGATGGGGGTGATGGGGGTGATGGTGATGATGTTGGTGGTGGCGATGATGTTGGTGATGGTGGTGGGGGTGATGGTGATGGTGGTGGTGGTGGGGGGGGTGGTGGTGGTGATGGTGGTGGTGGTAATGATGGTGGGGGTGGTGGGAGTGGTGGGAGTGGTGGTGGTGGGGGGGTGATGGGGGTGATGGTGATGATGTTGGTGATGGTGGTGGGGGTGATGGTGATGGTGGTGTGGTGGGGGGGGGGTGGTGGTGGTGATGGTGGTGGTGGTAATGATGGTGGGGGTGGTGGGAGTGGTGGTGGTGATGGTGGTGGGGGTGGTGGGGGTGATGGGGGTGATGGGGGTGATGGTGATGATGTTGGTGGTGGCGATGATGTTGGTGATGGTGGTGGGGGTGATGGTGGTGGTGATGGTGGTGGGGGGTGGTGGTGGTGATGGTGGTGGTGGTAATGATGGGGGTGATGGTGTGATGTGGTGGTGGCGATGATGGTGGGGGTGGTGGGAGTGGTGGGGATGGTGATGGTGATGAGTTGGTGGTGGCGTGATGGTGATGGTGGTGGTGGTGTGGTGATGGTGGTGGTGGTGGGGGGATGGTGGTGGTGGTAATGATGGTGGGGGTGGTGGGAGTGGTGGTGGTGATGGTGGTGGGGGTGGTGGGAGTGGTGGGGGTGATGGGGGTGATGGTGATGATGTTGGTGGTGGCGATGATGTTGGTGATGGTGGTGGGGGTGATGGTGATGGTGGTGGTGGTGGGGGGGGTGGTGGTGGTGATGGTGGTGGTGGTAATGATGGTGAGGGTGGTGGGAGTGGTGGGAGTGGTGGTGGTGGTGGGGGTGATGGGGGTGATGGTGATGATGTTGGTGATGGTGGTGGGGGTGATGGTGATGGTGGTGCAGGAGGAACGGGGAGGAGAGACACGGCGAGAGAGACACGTGGTCAAGGCGAGAGACGCGTGGTCACAGAGACACAGGAAGACACGGGGAGACACGGGGAGACACGGGGAGACACGGGGAGACACGGGGAGACATTGCCCCAGAAGATGCACTTGAGAGAGAGACATAGAGAGACGGAGACAGACAGAGAGAGACAGACACACAGACAGAGACAGACACACAGAGAGACAGACACACAGAGAGACAGAGACAGACACACAGAGACAGACACACAGAGAGACAGAGACAGACACACAGAGACAGACACACAGAGAGACAGAGAGAGACAGACACACAGAGACAGACACACAGAGAGACAGAGAGACAGACACACAGAAACAGACACAGAGAGACAGAGAGAGACAGACAGAGACAGACAGAGAGAGAGAGAGACAGAGAGAGAGACAGAGAGAGACAGACAGACAGACAGAGACACGGAGAGAGACACGGAGAGAGACAGACAGAGACACCGAGAGAAACACAGACTAATCTCCGCGGCCTAATGGGGGGGTGGGGGGGGGTCTTCATGGCCAACGCCACGCGGATGTCCAGTGGGACATCGCTTCCTTCCTTCCGCCAGATGCAGCAGCAGCAGCGGCTATTGTTGTTGTTGTTGTTGTTGCGGTTGTTGATGTTGTTGTGCGGTCTACACGTGGCCTTCAGGGACCCCCCTCTTACTGTCTCACCATCACCATCATCACCGCCATCACCGCCATCATCGCCATCACCACCATCACCAACTACCATCACCAACTACCATCACCAACTACCATCACCAACTACCATCATCGTCTACCACCATCATCACCACGACCATCTATCACCATCACCACGACCATCTATCACCATCACCACCACCATCACCACCACCATCATCACCACCACCACCACCATCACCACCACCACCACCATCATCATCACAACCAGCATCACCACCACCAGCATCACCACCATCACCACTACCACCACCACCACCATCATCATCATCACCACCACCAGCATCACCACCATCAGCACCACCATCAGCACCACAACCCCTTCATCATCATCACCACCATCATCACCACCACCACCTACCACCAACTACCACCATCATCACCACCACCACCACCACGACCACCACCACGACCACCACCACGACCACCACCACCAGCATCACCACCATCACCAACTACCATCATCACCACCATCAACTACCACCATCACCACCACCATCACCACCACCACCATCATCACCACCACCACCACCATCATCACCACCACCATCATCATCACCACCATCACCACCACCACCATCACCACCACCACCACCATCATCACCACCACCACCATCATCACCACGACCATCACCACCAACTACCACCATCACCACCACCACCATCACCACCACCACCACCATCATCATCATCACCACACATCTCAAGCTCCTACTCCTCTTCGCCAGCCTCCCAAGGCGCTCTCCGTGTCCTCGTGTGACCCGGGCCGACCGGATGGCGTCTCGCTCTCATCGGCGGCATGAACCAAGTCGGAGAGACCCTTTCACCAAACTCCACTCCTCTGGGGGAGTGCTGGGTGGGGTGGGCTGGTGGGTGGGGTGGTGGGTGGGTGGGGTGGGGGTTGTGGTGGGGGTGGTGGGTGGTGTGGTGGGCTGGTGGGGTGGTGGGTGGGTGGTGGGGTGGTGGTTGTGGTGGGCTGGTGGGTGGGGTGGTTGGTAGGGTGGTGGTTGTGGTGGGTGGTGGGGTGGGTGGTGGGGTGGGTGGTGGGGTGGTGGTTGTGGTGGGGTGGTGGGTGGGGGTTGTGGTGGTTGTGGTGGGGTGGTGGGTGTGGTGGGCTGGTGGATGGGGTGGTTGGTGGGGTGGTGGTTGTGGTGGGTGGTGGGTGGGTGGGGGGAGTGGTGGGCGGGGTGGTGGTTGTGGTGGGTGGTGGGCTGGTGGGGTGGGTGGGTGGGGGTTGTGGTGGGTGGGTGGGGTGGTGGGGTGGTGGGGTGGTGGGGTGGTGGGTGGTGGGTGGTGGGTGGTGGGGGTGCTGAGTGGGTGGGGTGGTGGGTGGTGGGTGGGGGTTGTGGTTTAACTCAAGAATGCCAAATGTTGCTCGCGGCGAGCTTTGTAAGGAAGATAAAATTAATAAATTGCGCCGGCTACAACGGAAACCACGACCGCAGTGACGGCAGGAACGTTTGACGCGAGTGGGTGCGTGGGTGGGTGCGTGGGTGGGTGTCTGAGTGAGACAATGGGTGGGTGGATGGGTGAATGAGTGGGTGGATGGGTGAGTGGGTGGATGGGTGAGTGGGTGGATGGGTGAATGAGTGGGTGGATGGGTGAATGAGTGAGACAATGGGTGGGTGCGTGGGTGTCTGAGTGAGACAATGGGTGGGTGAGTGGGTCAGACGGTGAGTGAGTGGGTGTCTGAGTGAGACAATGGGTGTCTGAGTGAGACAATGGGTGGGTGTCTGAGTGAGACAATGGGTGGGTGTCTGAGTGAGACAATGGGTGGGTGTCTGAGTGAGACAATGGGTGGGTGTCTGAGTGAGACAATGGGTGGATGTCTGAGTGAGACAATGGGTGGGTGTCTGAGTGAGACAATGGGTGGGTGTCTGAGTGAGACAATGGGTGGGTGTCTGAGTGAGACAATGGGTGGGTGTCTGAGTGAGACAATGGGTGGGTGTCTGAGTGAGACAATGGGTGGGTGTCTGAGTGAGACAATGGGTGGGTGAGTGAGTGGGTGGGTGAGTGTCTGAGTGAGACAATGGGTGGGTGAGTGGGTGAGTGAATGGGTGGATGGATGGGTGAGTGAGTGGATGGGTGGATGAGTGGGTCGGTGGGTGGATGGATGAGTGGGTGAGTGAGTGGGTGAGTGAGTGGGTGAGTGAGTGAGTGGATGGCTGAGCGAGACGGAGCGTGACCCGATGGGCGACTGAAACGGTGGGCGGAGTGACCGAGTGAGACGATTTCGCGAGTGGGTTAAGAAAGCCGAGTGCGAGCGGGCGAATGGGGTGGGCGAGTGGGCGTGCGATCGGCTGAATTGGGCGAGCGAGTGAGCGAGTGCGTAGGTCGATTCGAATGTTCGAGTGGGCGCGTGAGCGGCTGAGTGGATAGGCGAGTGAGCGAGCAGTTGATCGAACGTTTGAGTGAGTTAGTGAGTGAGTGGGTGGGTCAGTGAGCGGTTGATTGACAGATCGAGTGAGTGGG